GGGAGGGAGGGGGAGAGAGAGAGAGAAAGAGAAAGAGAGAGAGAGAGAGAGAGAGAGAGAGAGAGAGGGGTGTGAGAAACATTTATTGGTTGCCTCCTGTTAGCTCCCAGATCAGGAATCGAACCAGCAACCTTTTGGTATACGGGATGACGCTCCAACCAAGTGAGCCATCCAGCCAGGGCTGAACTTTTTTTTTAATGAGCCATCCTCTCATTTGAAAGTTGCTAACAGAATAAATCCTAAAGGTTCTCATCACAAGAAAAAAAAACCTGTAACTATGTACACCAATGGATGTTAACTAGACTTATTGTGGTGATCATTTCACAATATATACAAATATCAAATCATTATGTTGTACACCTTAAACTAACATGTTGTATGTCCATTATACCTCAATTTTTAAAAATAACTAAATGAGCCAATGCTCTATTCCTACTAACATTTTCAAACTTCTAGTCAGCCATACAGAATTAAATAAATATTTAGAGAAACCACCAAAAGGCCTGAAGACTGTTTTCTTAAAGTATACGGAAGGTCTCTTTGAAAGGGTTGCTTTCAAAGAAATAGGCTGAATATCTGTGCTGAGAAAAAATATATTTAGAATACCTACAAATTCTCTACTAAATCTTTGTTTAGAAATATGAGTTTGTATACTGCTATAAATTAACTGAAAGGAAGTCATCTCTTTGAATGCCCAAGTGAGGCAGAAGAAAGTAATTACACTTTCTGATTTAAGAAAGTGAAAAGTGTCAATTCACACCTATCCCCTTCTGGTAGAATAGTCATCTGGCTGATTCGTAAGAGCTGGCTGTCGATATCAAGCAAAACCAAGTAAGCCGATGCAGTTGATTTCACTTCTGGAGATCTATACAAAGAAACCCAAAACACTAATTCAAAAGAATGCACCTCTATGTTTACTGCAGCATTATTTACAACAGCCAAGCTATGGAAGCATCCCAAGTGCCCATCAATAGATGAGTGGATTTAAAAAGCTGTGGTTCATATATACAATGGAGTGTTATTCAGCCATAAAAAAGAATGGAATATTACCATTTGAGACAGCATGGGTGAACCTAGAGGGTGTTATGCTAAGTGAAACGTCAGTTAGAGAAAGACATATGCCATATGATTTCACTTATGTGGGAAATGTAAGGAGCATAAATGAACAACAACAACAAAAGAAACAGACTTACAGATATAGAGAACAGACTGATGATTGCCAAATGGTAGGGGGAGTTAGGGGGCTGGGTGAAAAACTGAAGGGATTAAGAGCTACAATTGGTAGGTACAAAATAGTCATGGGGGTGTAAAGTACAACAAAGAGAATATAGTCAATAATATTGTAATAACTATGTATGGTGTGAGTTGGGGTGCTGGAAATATCAAGGAAAACACTGTAAATTATGATCATCTAACTGCTGAGCTGTACACATCAAAACGAATCTAATACAAGTCCCTAATTTTGGCAAGCTTTAAGAGTCTCTAACTCAAAATCATGACTAACTATAATCCAGTATTTAGAAATGTTTTGTTTTATATAGCTTCAAAAGAATGCTTCTATCAGTCTCAGAGAAATCAGATTTCTCTTACAATTATCTCTGAGTTCAGTTATAGCCGAACTAGTGAAGAACACTTGCAATTTTCTTTCTTTTTTTTTCTTTTTTTGATTGAACTAGCATGGATCTTGGTGGCTCTGAACAAGATCCTGAAATGAAGGAGGAATATTCTTCTGTCTATGTTGGCAGAGAAGATGACCTTAAGAAATCTGAAAGAATGACAGCTGTTGTTCATGATAGAGAAGTGGTAATTTTCTATCACAAAGGAGAATATCATGCTATGGATATTCGCTGTTACCGTAAGATTTTATTTTTCATTTGTAAATCTTGAATTTGTTTACTAACCACAAAACTATCAAAATTTCAGTTTTTTTAGTGATGAGATTTAATATTCAATTCCTTTTCAGACTCAGGAGGACCTTTACACTTGGGAGACATAGAGGTATGTAAAATTAAATCTATTCTCAAAAAACTTGGGTGTTTTTTGTTTATATTATTATTTCATTCTGTATTAAAAAATAATTTACATTTGGCTTTGGATTATATTTTTATGCTTCAAGTATAATTGCTAATATTCTAGGAATTTGCATCCCTACAATGTAAAGAAAACCATTTCACAAATAAATGAGAGAACCATGCATGTCTTCTGACCTAGCAATTATATTCTGAGATATCTTCCCTACAGATATAATTGCACAAATGTTTAAATATATATAGGAGAGGGTGTTATTTATTGTAATAAAAATTGGCAGCAACCTAAATGTGTTAACAATGGAAAACAGTTTAAATAAATTATGAATAGCCATGCTATGGAATACTATGTTTTTCTACTTCATGAAACTGATATATCTCTTTCTCTCATTCCTCTCTCTTTCATGAGCCTCTCTCTCTCTCACACTCTCTCTCTCTGGCTCTCTCTCTGACTGGTACAAAGTACAATCTTAAACTTGGTGTTCCACTCTCTCTACACTTCATATCTCTAGTTCCCCTCCTGCCCTCAAGTTAAAAGGACATGTGTATTTAAATTATGAATTTTTATAAATTATGAAAAAGTGAATGTTTGCTAACAGTTCTCTGGAGATACAACATCAGTATTACAGCACTTCTGGTATAAAAAACAAAACAAATGTAAGCACCTGGTGATGATAAATGTGGAAGAATTTCTTTCAATTTCAAACCATGAGAGCTGTAAGAACCTTGCTACTCAAACTATGGTCCATAGACCAGAAATATTGGTGTCACCTGGGAGCTTCTTGGAACTGCAGAATCTTGCACCCATTCTAGGCCTACTGAATTTAAACAAGATCTGCATTTAAATAAGATGTTGGTGATTCCTGTGCTCTTTAAAAATTGAGAAGCACTGCTTTAATACCATTAAAAAGTTGAGAATTGGCTACTTTGGATCAAAATCGCTCTTCAATTAATATATGCACTCATGCCTTTAGTAACCTCTCTTGATTTATATCTGAAGCTTACCATTCTTCCAGCAATTAGAACTCCTTAAGAAGCATCTGAAGCCATTGCCTCATTTCCATCAAGGAAGTAGCATTGACATCTAATAGGTAACAGCACAGCTGCAGTAACATGGTACAGTTGCTGAGCTGGTAGTCTTCTGACAGAACTCTAACACACTGGGCTTCTCAACAGCAAAAGGGACCTGATGACAGCTAAGATTAGGTTCTGCCTCATGCTGAATTATTTCTAAATGGGAGGAAAAAAGAAAAGCTGGCTTGTTCTTTAACCTGGTTCTGCAGTAGATTCTGTTCTGAGTCTGAGGTTTATTGTAAACATTGGAAATGTCAGACTATTAAATCATTTATTTCCTTCCCCAGGATTTTGATGGACGACCATGTATAGTTTGCCCCTGGCATAAATTCAAAATTACTTTGGCCACAGGAGAAGGACTGTATCAGTCTATAAACCCTAGAGATCCATCAGCAAAACCCAAGTGGCGTTCCAAAGGAATGAAGCAAAGGATTCATAGAGTGACAGTGGACAACGGGAATATTTACGTGACTCTTTCTAATGATCCTGTTAAGTATGATTCCGATTTTTATGCCACAGGAAATTTCAAAGTAATTAAGAGTTCTTTCTGATAAAATCACATGACAATGAAAAATGGGTATGTTTTGAAAATAACCTTGCTTCAATACCAAAGATGATTAATTTTTTCCAACATAGGCATATTACGTATCTTTACAAATCACGTAAATTGGAAAGGTTCAAAAGCACATGTACTAAGTATAATGTAAGGATTATTGTCAGGATCTATAGAACACATTTCATCCAATCCTCCGGATGATTGGGACTGGAAGGTTACAGGCCTGGTATATGTATTTTCAGAAGGAGAAAAGTAATTTGATGTAACTAAAATGAGGAAGAGGTATAAAATAAGATCTACTAAGAAAAACTTTGGGGGGGGGGCAGGAATCCTTATTTGATGTAGCAGATTTTATCATGGAAAAGTTGAAAATATACAAAGTAAACAGAATTGTATAATAAACTCCCGTCACCCAATTTCAGCCATTTCAGCATTCTTCCATTGATACCTCCATGCATTCCCACCTCTCCTATTGGATTGTCATTACTACCTTTTAAGGTAAAATTTAAATATATTGAAATGCTTAAATCTTAACTTCAGTCTTTCCAAATATGTATATAGCAGATTTTTTACACTTAAAAATTGCCTCCAGAAATGGGGTAAGTTACATGCTGAATTTAAAAATAAGAAGCTTATCAATGTGCTGGACACATCAAAACCAAATAAACCTTGGCACAGTTTCTCCCTGATCAAGACAAGTAGTCTCAAAGCAGGAGGACCCACACAGCTGCTGCCCAGCCATGAGAAATAATGAAGTCTGCTATTCAGTGGGCAAAAGTATTTTGAATGCCTATGTGAAATTTTCAAATAAAGGTTTTTTCTTTATTTTTAGAGAACTTTGTGCATGTATGTACAACTGTTTCATGTAAATGTTATAAAGAGAAGAGATATAGGGGCTGTTCCTCAGAGTCCTTTCTGCTGAACTGATGTTAAGTGGTTTAGCCTGCTTTTACCATGCCAGTTATTTTGGGCCAGTGCTGTTCAGGTTGCCTGGTGCCCACACTATACTATAACACCCTGAGTGCTGGTCATCTAAAACTTGGCAGCATATAGAATATAAGAATAAGTGAAACCAGAAAGACCTAGCTAGGATGAGCAGAATATAAATCCAGAATGAGAAACTTTGGAAACTAGTCTCAAAGCATACTAATCGCCTTAGTGACATAGGATCAAAATTAAGACTCCAAACCTTATACTTAGCATTCTAAGGGACCCACCTGGACTCCTTCCCTCTGTTATTGTAAAAATAATAAGTGAATAAAGTATCATTAAGGCTCTGCTTACAGGGTGCTTTGCTATATATTATTACATTTCCTTTTCTATTGGAATAGGTACCATAGGTAATACAACACTTGCTACTCATTTCTCAGGCTACTGCTAAAGAGCTAGGCTTGGGCTTTGTATAAATACTGTTTATGGCAGCAGCTACTCACCAGGTATAGGAAATGTACAGTCTCCAGGATGGACACATCCCAGCCTGTTATATTAGGTGCTAGTCCTCCAATCACCAGTCAGGTCTTAAAATGTGGCCAGAATTTTAAATGCATGGAAGAAACCAAAATACCTCCTGCAGACAAAAAACGTGGCTCTAGTTTGCAGGGTCAATTACAGAAGCATTTTCTCTCAGGATCCAGGGGCAACAATAAGTAACATGGACTTCATTTCTGGTGTTAGATTTCTTACTCTAAATCTGGAAATAAAAAAATGTCAAGTCCTGTCCTCATATACAGACATCTTCTCACCAGATTTGTAAATAATACAAATCTGTTTTATAAACTTCTGATATCTATGAATTAGAAGACATTCATACTTTACCAATGAGTTATAAAAGAAGTGATAATAGGCAGACCCAAACTATGCAGTCTGTAGATAGAAAACAAATATCCTTTGAAAAATATCTCTTAAAAATATATGTAGCATTTTGATAGGGAAGGTTGTTTTTTTCTCCCAGGAAAATAATTAGAAAGATACTCAAAACAAGTCTTTAATAAAAACATAAATGTATTATACATACTCCTATATTATAATCCACAGCATAAAGTCTAACTAACCCACCAAAGGGTACATTTTCTTGTTCATTAAAAAATATTAGTCATACATATATTCTACATCAAAATTAATTTTGTTTTCTCTACCATATGAATACTTGAGTGACATTTTATTAGTTCCTCCCTACCTTTTTTAAAAGCAGAGCAGTCAGTATATTAAAACTAGTTTCCTAGTTTTGTCAGATGAAATGTTATTAGATGGATAACTCTTAAGCTTTTCAGTGATATTTATGTTCATATTTGCTCATTCATTTATTTCAGTTGATTGGTCAAACACAGAATGTAAAACCTGGATCTTATTACTCAGCTTATTAGCAGGAAGAGCTGAAGTATTGTCTGGCTTCTCCGGTAATGACCTATAAGCTTTTGCTTTGATTTCAGCATCAGGAAACATAGGCCCAGAAAGCACAGGCTCAGAAAAGGCTTTCCTAAGATTTTCGCTCTCCCCTCTGTTTTGCCTTATGGATTCTTCTTCTTGGAAAATTTTCTTTACCTTCTCCAGAACAGCATTAACACAGACTGTCTAATAATGAAAAATTTGAAAAGTAAAGTTTCTTTTTAAGCTACTAAACTTGCAGACAAAAAGCCCAATAAAATGTTTAAAGTCATTAATCCACATACTCTAATAAAGAAACACTTCCTTTCAGGAACCCCTGGCACATGATAAACATCAAGAGACTGACTCCTTGTTCTGAATATATTACACCATAATCTAGATGGAAAATGAAAACCTAGTGTGACTCAATAAAGACACACTTTACATCTTTTTTCTTAATTCATTACATGTTTTATATATTTATTCTGATTTAATTAAATGAAACATTTCCTTTATTCTCCTGATTTAATTAAGTGATTTTTTTTTTTTTGAGAGATGAAATTTGTTCCTACCATGTTAATACCTCACAGTAGATTTTTTGTTTTTGCTTTTTTACCCCCTGGACTTTGCTTTTACCTGTTTGTACAACTGGAAGTGCACAACCATTTTGGTAAAAATTTAGTAAACTAGTAGATCAATGATTTCTAAACAAATATGTGATCCGCTTTCTGTCAAAAAATGTCATTTAGTACTTTCAGAAAGTGTCAAAACATAGAAAAATAATTTCAAAAACAGAATCATTAAGAATTGTATCTGTTAAACTTATTCTATAAGTTTACTAATGATGATGATGGTGCCAAGTATCTAAGGCAAACAGTAAGAATAATAAAATTCATGAACTATGAGGAGATTTGGACTAGCTTCTTTTACCAGTGATAATTGGCTATGAACACTTGGAAGGTTTTCAGGGAGTATCAGAGAAAGGACTGAGGGCCTCTGCTTGAAAAGCTTCGATTTCCTCCTGACCTCCCCCTTTCTTGCCTGCCTCCCTATACTATAGATTGGGTAAACATCAGATGCTTTCCTTAACCTCCCTCCAGTTAGTGTGTGGCCAGGTGACCCTGTTCTGGCCAAATAAACAAAATACGTCTGCTGCGCAGGAGGTCAGGAAGATTTTTGGAAAAGTTTTTCCTCCTATATAAAAATGAAGACTCTCTGTTTTTTGCCTCTACCTATCCTTCCTGGAATGAATCGTTAAAACCATTTTGAAAACCTGTTTGGCAACATCTACTAGAGATGAACATGTGCATATTCTATGGTCCAGCAATTTCACCAAAACATATGTACAACAATATTCATAGTACCTCCTTCACAATAGTCAGAACTGTAAATAACCTAAATGTTCAACAGTAAAATGGATAGTGATATAGTCAATCAATGGAATACTATACAGCAATGAAAATCGGCAAACTACTGCCACAGGCATCAAATAAATAAATCTCACAATGATAGTATTGAGCAAAAAAGGGCAAATACAAAAGAATATATAGTATATGATATTTCATTTATATACATTCAAACAAAACTATAATATTAGAAGTCAAATAGTTGTTGCCTTTATAGAAAAGGTTAGTGATTATAAGGGGGACAAGAAAGACACTTTTAGAATGATAGTAATGTTTGTTTCTTGACCTGTGTGGTACATAGGTTAATAGATTTCGTGGTAATTCATCAAGCTGTGTACTTTTCTCTTTGTATATTATACTTTTCTAAAAATTTAAAGGTAGATATAGATGGCAGTAGATTAAAAGAAATAATCCCTTATAATTTATAAAATCTTTTATATTTTTGTCATGGTTTTCAATGAACACTTTTGAATTATAGCACTTGTAATTCAAAATATACTTTTAGTTTACAGCACTCATAGTTCAAAATACAGTAACCCCCCCCCCCCAAATAACAGATTTAAATGATGGAATAATTAATTTTAGCCAACCATGGCACAGTGGATGAAACAAAACAGCTATAGCTACATGAAAGCAAAACCACAATATTTTGACCAAGTAGTAATAAACTTTATAAAAATAAAATAATTTAAGTTATTTAAGCAAATTAGTTTTTAGTGGATTGAAGTAAACTTTTAATGTAAAATTATTTTGTGTAACCTTGGTTTATGAATAGAATGTAAACAGTATACCTTTAAGATTACATAAAATAAGTATAATTATTTCTATATTCTAATAATTTTTCTTAACTTACCAAATAAACTAGTGCTGCATATGAAGCATACATTATGCTGGTTAAAGCAGTCTTTGCTGGAAAGGAAATGATCTCAAACAAAGAAGCCTTTCTGACCTGCAAAAACAGATGACAGTTTTATTAAAACAGAAGTTTTCAATGTTACAATGTTAACTTTTACAATGTTACTGAAAAAGAAGAATTTAAATATTTCTTTCTAGAGAAAGTCATCCACTTTAGATCTATCTGGGGTTTTTTCACAGTCTAAAAATATATTAATTTTTCTTTTATAAAAGGATACCCTCTTTCACTCATCAAAACCTATGACACATTGATTTTAAAAACCTTGCCCTAGCTGGTGTGGTTCAGTTAGTTGGAGCGTCGTCCTGTGCACCAGAAGGTTGAGGGTTTGATTCCTAGTTAGGGTACATACCTAGGTTGTGGATTTGATTCCCAATAGTGGTGCAGACCAGGGACAACAGATAGATGTTTCTCTCTTTTCCTCACTCTCTAAGATCTATTTAAAAAAACCACCTTAACTCTTTTACATTTATCAAGTGCTCACTAGGGGGTGCTGCTGTGCATGTTAGGAAAAAAGTCTGTTCAAATTCATGTAATCATCCTTTACTAAATTATTCACTTCTTCAATTAAGCAAACAGTAATCAAAATTCTGAGCATTTCCTGGAGACTAATAACCTGCTTGGAAATGTTAATCATGAGAGTGCTGAAGGCCAGCATTAATCCTGATCAAGCTTCAGGAAATGCTCTGTGCTCATATCCAGCATGCTGTTTTGAAACCTAGAGGTTTACACCAATAATGAATTTGTCTCTCAGATGTTTCTAGCTTCTGGTAATAGAAGGTGTCCCTGCCTAAAACATAATAGTATAACATATTCGGCTTAAGGGAACTATACTTTCGTAGCCTACCTCTTTTGCCTTGAGCAAGATATAAAATGAGGACAGTAGGAAAACCATTCCTTTCCCAGTCAGCAGTGTCGTGGCAGGTTAGCCATGCTCCTCTGAAATAAGAGCCATGCCACTAGGTGGCTTCAATAACTCCCCAAAGGTACAGGCTGTAGCGGATACAATCATGTAATTGCACAGCAAAATGCACATGAACTTGAAAGAACAATATGCATATGTTCATTAAGTTATTCATGACATGAGAAAAACTGAAACAATGATAAAATGATTAGGTAAATTACACTATATCTACTCAATGGTATATTGCAGCCTTTTAAAATGTGCTTCCAAAGAACACGTGATAACATTTTGATGGCACTGTGGACCAGGTCCTGTTCTAAGTACTTGTTACTGGAGTAAACTCTGTTTTTGCTTACTGCTGCCGCCACTGAATGGCAAACAAAATTGCCCGTCACGGTTCCCTTCTCTTTTAAGAGATGTATGGAGTGCTGAAGCAAGAGCACTGCCTAGCCTCGTAGCTAAGAGACGGCTGGGGGCAAGGGGCCCTTCTCATTTCCTACCTTTCAGGCCATTCCAACTCCTAGATATAGGGATAGGTTGGGGCAGTGTTAGCCCCCTCTTTCCATAAGTACTCTGGAAAATTTCCCAGTGTTCCTGGCTCTGCAAAGAGCTTCCAGGAAACAAAGCAGCTGTTGCTGTGTCCCTCTTGTAGAAGAATCAAAATGATGGCATGCCTTTGAATCCCACTATGAGGCTAGGAGACATCATACTAGCAGAGAGCAGATGCAGACATTAGGAAGGAAAGCAGATACACTCCAGCAAAATGCCTCCCAGCACAGTGAAAGATTATGAGCTTGTGAATATATAAATGTAAGTGGGAGGTCCATATTGAATACTTGGAAGGCCATGTGCGATAAAAATGAAAGTGGTGTCTGTGTGCGTAAGTTGCTACTCTGTTTCTGTTTCACTGCATCTTCCCTTTTCAGATTTTTGTCCTTCACCTAAAAGGAATTAAGACTGATTTGTTTCAGAATAAGTTATGTATTTGATATATATTATGCTTCTGAATGATGAATCTGTATATTGCCTAAGGGTCACTTTTTCACCATTTTAATGCTTTTAATAAATACTTGCTATTCCTGTGACAGATCATCCTGTAAAAAATACATTTCCTCCAAAATTCATGTGGCTACTGACAAGTGGCCATTTTTCAATTTTCTGACTCATTTGTAATACATGTTTTTCATATTAAAAGCTACCCTGTTTCATCTTTGTCATGCTATGAGCAGGAACAATGTATGGTAAAACTGAGATAACTGGGAGAAATTTGGTAGATGGGAGGCTTTATTTAGATTGTCTTGGCTTATTTCAAAAATTTTATCTTAATCTTATTGTTATATTAATTTTATGTTTTTTGCATATTTAAATTAAAAGTATTTCATATCAATATTATGCCCATATATTTCTTTTAATTTGGTGATATTAATGCATAAGATATATGGATATTTCAAGAGTAAAAACATCTCAATCTTTAAATTTCATCCACATAATTTTGACTGCCTCATCTCATAAAAGAACTGTGTTCGTCTTATTTTCACTAATAATAGGATAAATCACAGAAAAGCAAACTATAAGCAGTTTAGAAAATAAAGATCCACTTATAGGTGACCTGAAGGTTAGAGAATTACCAGGCTGCCCACTTAGTTTATGCTGCCCAAAACCACCTTTGTGAGGAACAGCAGGGAGCAATAGGGGAAACTCAGTGATTCACGAGTAAGTGTCGCAAGAAGTACTATTGTTAATAGGTCCCAGAGAAAAGTGTTTCCTTTAAGTCTGGGAAAGCTACATGATCATGTCTTTGCTTAGCAACCTGTAATATTCATGATCACAGGAAAGACTCCTAGCAGTCCACACACAGTAAAGAAAATTATTTGACTTTGTTTATCCCAGTATTAATGTCCTGTGGTCTTGAATAAGCTCTTAGTTGGGGGGTCCTGTAAAAGCTCAAATGTCCCAACCTCCTGGCCAAACTGGAGAATTATATCTTCAAGATTCAGGTAGTTATGCTTTCCAGGAATTGTCCTTTGTTCCCAGGTCTTGAATTACACCACCCGAGAGAACCTCATGGAAGGCTCCTCCAAGGACCTACAGAAGTGTCCCATATTTGTGAGATTTACAGTTTAAACCCCAAACTGGAGTCTACCCTGAAGGGTTAGGGGTAAGAAGTAAAATTTACTTAGAAAAGCCTCTGACCTTTATCCTGAAAAGGGGACCACAAGTCACTGGGGTGGACCTGTGGCACAGACATTTTAGAGGCTGTTTTCTTCACTTTGCCTGCACAAAATAGAAAGTTCTCTCTAATGCCACTATAAGGAAGAGTCTATCACAGGAAGTGCTCCTGGTCCTGTGGCCCCGCTTGGCCTGCCAAAGTCAACAGCGATGTCTGGGAGCTGACGTATCTTGGCCCAAGTGAGCATTCAAGCTGATTATCTAGGTCACTGCAGCTTAGAGCAGCTGCAAGCTTCACTGAGCCAGGCAGCTTACAAGGCTAAGCAGATGCACCATTCTGTAAGCACTAGTGCTGGGGATGCTGAAAACCATCAGGATATTCTCTATTCAGTTTTCTATTCCTGATTCTCCTTATTGAACTAGAAGGTATATCACCACAATCTCATCCCTGCAGAACCTGGAGGGGTTTGAGGAACAACCCGACTCAGCACTCATAGTGCCAGGTGCAAAGGAAGTCTCTTTTAACAAGATGCTTAACTGGAACCTCCTAACCCCATCTCTCTGTGCTCATGTCACAAGCCACCAGAATCTCTTCAGGTCACCTGTATCAGTTGGATCTTTGGGTAACTCATATTTGGCACAATATCTTTGAATATATCTTTGAAGATATATAGGACATGCTCTAGAGCTAAATATAATTAACCAGAAAGGCGTAGGTAGGTTGTCGAGGGAGGTCCTGTGATAATGTCCATTCTCTGTCTTGAGGAGACCATTACTATATCACACCATTATTTCATCTCAGACCACATCAAAGCACTGAAACACTATCGTAGTTATAGCCAGTGTCCTAATGAAAATACTCCTTTATTCCATGTTCTTGAGGGAGGCAATCTGCCTGACTGGTGTTCCCAGCTACATAATATCCAACAGTTTTGGTAGAACCATTTAAGGTGCTCTAGGTACATCATCCTCTTATCAGTGATGAGACTGAGCACATGAGGAGGATCTTTGAACATACCTACAGGTAGGTTAATGAGGCCGCTTACTTCCCCACATAAAGCAATGTCCTCCATGCATCCACAAAGCATATCTCCTTGCAAAGTGATTCCAGATTTCACTCCTTTTACTTCTGCACAGAGTTCCACCCTGACACAGGCAGCCTGACAATTCTTGAAGGAATTCATGTTGGATTTCACTCTGGGTAAGCTGAACACTGTCACTTTGGGGAGGCAGCCAAGCGGTGTACCAGAGCTGGTATAGCTCCTCCGTGGTATGCCGCTTACCTCCTGGCACACTCTTGTACCATGATACGCTCCATTCACAGACCAACCCATTGACCTCCACACTTCCTACATTAGTCTGTTGTTCCTTTGACTCTCCAGGCCATTGTCTTCACTGTTCATACTTCTGTTTTAGTCATCTCTGAGACTTTCAGACTTGAGATACAGTAGTGATGTTTTCTTCCTTGATACAACTTAGTTTCCTCTCGGTGGCAATTCTGATTCTCCACCCTAGCTAATGCCCTGGAACCCTACCCTCAAGGACCCTGGAACCTCTGACCTGGGACTGTTCCCACTTGTCTCACTCCAGCCATTTAAAACTTACATTTCCTAAGTAAGTCATGCTCACTCTTGCTTCAGCATCTTAATAAACATGGTTTTCTTCCTGGAATGATCCTCCTACTTCTTTACAAGGCTAATTTCTCCTATTTCAAGTCTCAGGTTGAGTATCATCTTCTGGAAAGCCTACACTGACTACTCTCTGGAATCATATGCCCCTCGTTAATGCTTCCATAGTGCGCTTTGCACACTTTGATGATGCATTTGCCCCACTCTACTAGCATTGCTCACCTACCTATCATCCCCACAGTTCCTAGGCCAATGGCAAGACATCTATGAATCCCTAATACCTAAACTAATGATTTTGCATGTTGGGTTTTCAATGAATATTTAAATGAATGAAAAAGTAGAATTATACTTTATAACTTCCAAAACCAAATTCAACCATCTTATATGGAATTTGTAAAATATATTGAGACATAAAGCTGGGCCCTGGCTGGGTAACTCATTTGGTTAGAGTGTCATCCCCATATGCCAAGGTTGCAGGTCCGATCCCCGGTCAGGGCATATACAAGAATCAACCACTGAAGGCATAAATAAGTGGAACAACAAATTAATCAATCTCTCTCTCTCTCTTCCCCTCTATCTCTAAAATCAATAAAAAAATTTTAAATAGTAAAGATGAAGGATATCTGGCTCCAGCAACATGGCAAAGCTAATGGGGAACCCAACACACAGGAAAACCTACAAATTCTATATAAATTCATACACCAAAAATTTAATATAAAACCGAGTGGAAGGAAGGAAGGAA